TTTCCAAAATTTTATTATCAATATTTTGCATACTTTTATTATTTTATAATTGAGAATTGATTTATATTGTTTCTACAAAAAATAATGAAAATTGAATTATTTTAGATGTATAAAGAGTTCTAATTTTTTTATTTTGAATGTAGTTATGATGTAAAAAAATAACAAAGATAAAATTTGAAGATGATTGTATTAAAATATTAGTGGTATTTTATATTTATTCTATTATTGGATAACTAAATTATCCTAGATTACTAATTTGATATGTATAGTATTCTTTATAAAACCGAATATTATTTGTTTGTTAAAAAGGTATTTATAACAACGCGATTTATTTGAGATGATTTGAAAATAGAAAACAAAAAAAACAAAAAAAATACATTTTTTATAGTATTTTGTTATATTTTGATAAAAAAAAACCTTAATTTTATTGAATACTTTTATCCTCGACCAATATTGATAGTATTTTTGATAAAAGTTGAGGCGGAATGAATGTTAAAGAAGCAATACATAATTAGTTAGTATAAATTTCCATTAAATTTATTTTTAATATATATTGGTGGTTATTAAAAAATCAACATTAGCTTGATTGTTCGTTGATAAAATCAAAAAAAAATAAAGAAATACAAATAATTAAGGAATTTTTTTTTAAAAATTTGTCTTATTAGGAATTATCGAATATAATAAATAAGTATGTATCTATAAAAAATTTATTTGTTAAGAAAAGAAGATAACCAAGAAAGTGAAATTTAATAAAATAAATATAAAAATTGTTTTTTGATAACAATTACTTTTATTTATATGTTATATCGATCAAGAACACATTTTTTATCTTTTGTTAAAATATTAAATTTAAATTATTTTAATCAGAATGTAAGAAATCATTTTTAAATACATTTTTTTTTCTATTTAGTTTGTGAAATAAATAATTTACAACCATTTATATTAGCTGGCAGACTAAAGTTACTTTAAAACTAAAAATAAACATTAAATATTTGTTGTTATTATGAAAAATAAATTATTAAATAGGTCGATAAGGATTGAAGCATAATATAATTATAAAAAATGTAAATCAGCATAAAAATCAAGTTATTATATTTTTTTAACACTGATTGTCTTGCTATCTGTAAATTAACATAGAGTTTAATGAAAATAATGTTTAATTTTTTTCAACGATATGAATAAAATTTATCATACGATCTGAAAAAAATATTTTAGATTTTGTAAATTACTAGAATTGTATTTTATTTTTGAATAATATTTAATTATGAGTGCTTTCGAAACAATTTAGAGTCAATAGTTGTTTCCAAAACATTGATTTACAAAAATTGAACATAAATTCATAATAATTATTATCACAATTGAATTTATATTATAAAAAAATCAAAATAAAAAATCGAAAAAAATTATGATCCTCAATAAATGGAAGTAATGTATATATATAGCTTTTATAATAGTAATAATATGTAAAGCGTGAAAGCAAATTTTAGCTACAACAAATATAAGTAAAAAAATATAAAATTTTAAAAATGGAACATAAAAGTATTTTTAATTTACTACCAGTCAATATTTATTGCAAATACAGTTTGAACTGGTTAAGTAATATTCGTGAAATTTTTTTAATTGTCGAGATCATCAAGTTTTTTGAGCTCATTTTTTATTATTTCGATCTGTTCTTGGGTGATTTGAACTGTGTTTGTATCTGAAACGAGATCGTAATTGTCGGTGCTGCTTTCTTCTACGTCGTCGCTTGGAACAGCAAACAGTTTATCATCTTCCATATTTTTTTAAAGGGTATCGAAGAAGTTGAGAATTTAATTTGTAATAAATTTTAATTTAAAAGTGTTTTTTTAAGTTTGTAGATGAAGGTGAAAGTTTTAATTACTTCAATTGAATAAAAATTATTTTGTAAAGTCGAATTTATAATAAAATTTTAACACACAATAACTAATATGAATGAGCTATGTTGATACTGCTAATAAGTTGCTATAACTCAATTGAATTAATATTGTTTTGGTTTCTATCTTTCAAAAAAGTTTTGAAATATTGAAAACTAAAAAGTATATTATAAGTTTTTATTAAACTGCAAATAAAAAAAAAGAACATAGAAATTAAAGATTTTGACATGCTCTGATTATAAAAAACAATTCACCTGAAATTTTGGATATTCCGTAAACTTATAAATTCATAAAGAATAAAAAAGAAATATAAGCATACCACTAAGATAATATTTGATTCTAAAAGTTGAAAACTTTTATTTTGAGGATTCTTTAAAATAGTTGCAAAAATATTGCATAGAATAATGCAGAAAAATATAAATATAGGTATGAATTTTGCTTTTAATGTGAAAATATGTTAACGAATTAGGCTATCACATATCTTTATTGCTTAAACTATTATAGTGTCTAAATCAGTTTTTATACTCATTTAAACTTGATTTACTTTGAAATACAATATAATCGTATTTTCATTTTAAAATAAAGAAAATCAGTATGTATAAAAAACAATTTGAAATTTTAACACATAAGAAAAGGTTTGATTTTTTCAGAGATAAGAAAAATCACAAAATGCCATTTATAATTTTAATAAAACAAAAAATGGCAGGATATGTTTTATAAAAACAATAATATTAGTGGTAATAGTAGTAGTAATGATATTACATATGTTAGAGTTAGTATTAATTATTATATCATTAGAAAAAAACCAATCATTATCTAAATTAAGATGAAAGTCATACAAAAAAAAATTTTAGATTCTATTTAAAACTAAAAATGTTCCTTTATTACAAGATAATTATCAAGAGCAAAAAATATATACTGCAATTGTTGAAGTGAACATCCCTTTGAAATAATTTTTTTATATTAATAATATATCTATTCCATCGTTAGCTAAATTTATTATTTCCCCTTAATTTTCATTTTCCTAATTTTCAAGAACCTAATTGTGAGCCATATTCCAGGACTGCTGACCTAAAAGTCTTGCGACTTGGCCGTAAACTTATGTCCTTATTCCATTTATACCACTCTCACGGTATTAAGATAGCAAGGCAAGACAACCTTTTTAATCCAATAACATTTATAAATTATTTATATAATTTTTTGAAAATTTAAAATCTTATGCCATTTCATTTCGAAAAATTTTCTATCAAAAATAAATGAAAAAATGGGGAATTTAAATGAAAAAATATAAGTGAATTGTAAAGGATATAATTCCTTCTGGTTTTTGGTTTTAAATTGTTACATGCAAGAAATAATATTAAAATTTTTGATTCTGATTCAATATCTAATAAATTAAAAACCATAAAAAATTTATACGAAATTGAAGCATAAATGAAGCAGTGAATATTTATAAAAGATATTTTTCTATCTCGTATATGAATATATTTTAAACTTATGAATAAAAATATATATTAAATCGTAAATAAAATATAAATAAACTAAAACTAGTATATTCGCTTTTTTATAAAAAATAAATTTAAAGTGTAGGGAAATCAAAAACAAACATAAAACCATACAATGCTTTAATATAAATTTGTTTCAATCATAAAAAATCATTTAACTACCATTATCAAACATTATGATCATCAAAAACTACCAAAAACACTTAAAAGCATTATTATTATTCCCACATATTATCGATATCAGGATAAATGATAAAATCATAAGCAGAATCATAAAAAACAGGCAAAAAGGGAATTTTTAAAAGGCTCTCGCCAGTTTTAAAATCACTTAAAACATTTTGCAAGTAAATCGAAAGTGCAGCGTGTCTATCAATACACCTACTATTAATTAGAAACCTGATTTCTGTGCTGATATCATTCATCTCTACCGGTATTTCGTAGTTTTCAAAAACAGTTTCATCAAATAATTGTGCGTTATTGTATTTTTCTAGCTTTTCTAGTATATTATTGAATTCAGCATAATTTTTTTGAATCTTTTGAATGTATTTATTTTTTATAAAGTTTTTTTCCAATATCAGAAATAAATTTTTTGATGCCTCTATGAGATCGAGTGAAAATTTGAGTATTTTGGTGAATATTTTTTTCTTTAAAATCGCTGGGTTGAATTTTTTATTTTCATTTTTATTGTTACTAGTCTCTTGGGCCTTATTTATATCCAATTTTACATTTTCAACATCTTTATCATTATTATTTATCAGGATATTTTTCCTAACTTGATTACCTGAATATTTGATAGAAAAATTGTAATACTTTTTTAACGCTCTTTTGAATGAATTTTCTGCAATAATCAATCTGACAATCGAATTTTGAAGATCAGCCTGATAATCAACCTTCGAACTCAGCTTTAAATTCAAAAAAGAGTCGAGCTCACCCTTGCAATTGAAATTTAGAATAATTCCGTTCCAATTATGTTCAATTTTAGCTGGTACCTTTTCTTTGTTGATTTTACTGATTATCTGGTCTATTTCATCGACTAAAATAAAGTTGTCCTCTACTTTTCCGCGTATTTCTAGTAAAGATGCTAATACAGAAGTTTTACTACTATCGATATTACCATTGCCACTGCTATTACCACAATCAAGCAATAAAAAACAATTGAGATACTCTTTGTACAATTTGTTATCTGCAACTTTGATAGCTCTTTTCAAGCACTTTCTCGCATACCTTTTCTTACTTGTATTTTGCATAGACTTTACAAGATACTTTTCTGCTTGATAAATCGTACTTTCTTTCCGCACTGTTTTCAAAAACTGTAAATAAGTTACATAATCCTGCTGGTAAAATCCGTGCTTCTTTCGTAGGTGGACTAATTTGTCGATTTCCTCCATTTTTTAAGGGTAATTCCAATGTAGATTCTTTCGTACTAAAAACAATACATAAAATTAAAACTGTTCATAGCAATACAAATAGTAAGATTATACGTGTTTTTAGATTTATATTTTATACACTAACATACAATTTATCCATTAAATCACATTGTTTTATGTAAATTAGATTGTATAACAGGAGTGCAATTCAATAAAATTAAAAAATGCAAAAGAAAGGACCGAGCCGGGACTCGAACCCGGGACGCATGCACCCAAAGCAAGAATTCTACCACTAAACCACACGGTCTTATTGATTTGGTGTGATTGATATATACACTAAAACTGCAGATACTGTGATCTTTATGATCAACAAACTACCCTATAGAATTGTATGTGTACGGAATTAATATAGTAAAATGATTGGATCATACATGAGAATATATGTGCAATTATACTTGTACGACTAAATTCATGCCCGAAATTATATTATTAAAAATAGTATATTTTTTATCATTATTGATTTTTAATGACAAACACGTCAAATTCACCATAACTTAATGGATTTTTGTTTACTTTTAACATTATATAAATATTGACAAAAAATGTGCTACAGACTTAACAAATAATATTAAAAAAACCCTTAATTAACACGAGAAATTTTTTTATGCTTTAATCTTAATTAAATCCAAAAAATATCATGCTAATATATAAAGTCGAATTGAATGATAATACGTAATTAAATCAATTTTGACATGCATAAAAATATCTTTTCGCAATTGAATTAACTTTAAAAATTATTTTTTGTAACTGTAAAAAAATATAGGCGAAATTAATGTTATTAGATTCTTATATATGTCAGTATTTCTATTTTTTATTTTAAATTGATTTTATTTATTGGTTTTTTAGATATTAAACTATATTTTTATCTAAAACATTAATATTTCGAACTTAAAATAATCTTAAATATCCAAGATGCAACAATCAACAAAAGTAATGTTTCATTCATTTTTAAAGCATTTGCATCGACATAAATCATATATTTTTAAAAAATTTTTTTGGATGCCAACAGTACTATTAATCATTACATTTAAAAAAACTTATTACAAAAAAAATTTTTAGCGTGCTTTTATATTAAAAAAACTACTTATCTGTTTTTTTCAATCACACGTTATAGTTATAAATACCAAATATATTGTTATTTGATTTTTATCATTAAATAATAAACTTTTTTTAATTACTATATCAAAAAAACAATTACACAAAGCTTCTAATAAAAAATGTGCCACAAAAACTCAATATATCTTTAGAATATCTTATGAAAATGAATTTTTTAAAAAATAAAAATAATACGCTACAAACAAATATAATTACCAATATAAGGAAAAATTAACAATGTATCTTTAAGAATCATTAAATATTTGTAAATTTTAATATCTAAATAGTCAATATGAAATAACGTAGATAAAAACAAATTTACAGAATAAAGTTGAAACATTCTGTTTCAAAATATGTATAAAAAGAAATGAAGTTTCAATAAATAAAATATTTTTATAAACACAATAATATATTGGTGACAACTTTATTTAGAAAAATTTGATTATATAATTATAAAAAAATGCTAATAATACAATTGAAGATCTTTGGTTTCAGTCATTTCTATTGAGATAAATACAAAAACAAGTAGGTAGAGTTTCAAAAAAATATATTTGGAAATCTATTATCATAGTACTAATAAAAATAGATATAATATGAAATATTTGTAAAACAACATAAAAATGTTAATAAACAACATTATTATAATAGAATCACTGTTTGAAAACTATTTTATTGCACTTTTTTCATTAAAGGATCATACTAATTATCACATAATCCATCTTTAACATAATACATTTTAAAAAGAAATTGTATTAATAAAACTATGCATTAAAAAAAATATATAATGATAAAAAAATTTTTTTAGGTAGCAAATATTTGTCATTTGAAATTCAAACTACCCCTTTTCTAGTATACTACAGATTTTCTAAAAATCACTATATATAAAATAATAACAGAAAATAATATGTTTTTCTTTTTTGCAAACCAACAAATATACTTAGTTCAATAAAATTTGGTTGAAAAATGGTAAAAATACCATTTTAAAATTCATAATAACTTTTTTTTTATTCGAAAATCAAGTTTTTGCTAAAACAAATTTTTTGTTATTTATTACCTTTAAAAAATTGAATTTCTAATGTTTTTTACCACGTGCATAATGCTTTGGTTAGGAAAAATATATCAATTATACAAGTATAAATCCTTTCTACTTCTTAGTTTTTACATATAAAAAGCAATACTTTGATTTTATTATAATTAATTGGTATAAAGTAACTTCTTATAGAAAGATTTTTTACGTGTAATGATATTATCTTTGATGTATTTCTCTAATGTTGTGGCAATTTTTAAACTTTTCATCAACAACTTCAAAAATATATAAAAAAAATGTTTTGATTACATTATATATATATACAAATGTTTTTTTTCTTTTACATGAAAATAGCGTGTTTTATCGCGTCTTTAATCTACTTTTAAGAAAAAAATTTAATGAATTACATATACATATTGTACAAAACGATAGCTTCAAAACCTTTATGTGATAAAATCACAAAAATGTAACATCCTCATCTATATTTGAAATCAACATAAAAAAAAAGTACAAATACTATTTATATTACAATAAACCAACAAAGTTATTTACATAGACAAAAAAATAGAAATGTACATAAAAAACAGACTTTTATAAAAATAAAACATCTTAAAAATTTTAATTCATATTTTATTATTGTTGATAATGGTAGATTTAAAAGGTTTTACTGCGAGAGATGCAATTATGTGATGTTTTACGGAATCATTTGAATACAAATGAAGCGCTCATTCAGCCTCCGAATATAAAAAAAGAGAAACGGACCCACTAAAAATATAGAAAATGTGAAGTTACAGAATAAAGAACAATGAAAAAAATCTTTTTTAAATAATTTCATAAAAAATTTACATTTTAGTATAAATTGATCGTATTATTATTTGGAATGTACTTATCATACTGAATATGCTCTTTGTAGTTGCGCTGCCAATGTAAGCACTTACAATTTTACAAGATACTCAACAAATCTAAATATACCATCTAAATACAAATTTGTTTCATAAATCTCTCTATCATCAATACTATTACCGAGAAACATGATTTCTCAATATAAAAAAAGTTTTGTGTAAAAAATAACTTGAAAAGTTGAACACAATTTTTAGTGATACAAAAATCTATTTCTAGCCTCAAAAAATATTATATTTTTTTAAAGAACAAAAAATATAGAAAGGGTCAATTTCTGTAAATTGATTAAAAATTTTGATGCGATTAAAGAAAAATACATTTACTATAATTTCAATGTGAAAAATTAGACAATCTTTATGCTATAGAAATAAATATTGAAATGTGGTTCTACTAAAAAAATATAGATATACAAGGTATATTAACGTATCTTGATCAAAAAAGGGTTGAGAGCCTTAAAAAAGTGATTACTACGATTTCTAATGCTAGTTGTTGTATATTACATTATGACATATACATATTTATAATTTAATAAAATTCTTATTACCTACAGCTTGAGTATATATTTAGGGATACTGATTGAAATAATCTGTATAAATTATTTAAAATACATATAGAATATAAAATTTTTTTTACATATTAATTTGTAATATAAAACAAGAGAAATATTTTTCTATAGTTTTGTTATGATTATGTTTTCATTTGATCTGTATGTTCTTACAAATGGTCATTTTGTTCTTTTTTTGTCATACATAATAATATAATTTTTTTGGTAGCTTTATTTTACATAAATATATGTAATAAATTTTTGCTCTTTATAAAAGAACATAAATATGCCATATATTTAAATTTTACATATACAAACCTAAAAAGTATTTATTATCAAAAAATTTGATAACTAACACAAATTTTTCTTGAACAAAAAATATGTTTGTTTTATTTGAATTTTCGGGTTATTTACATACAAAAATCTCAATTTATATATTTGTCAAATCAAATTATCTGTATATCTATTTTATGAGCTTAGTGGAAATTTATAAATTATAACAATTAAATCTATTTAATATTTCAAAATATACTTTAAATTATATTAGTTCCTATTCTCATTAAGATTTAAATAAATTTATAATAGATTACCATAGGAAAGTATTACTATATTAAAAAAAATTGTCTTCAACATTAAAAGCTTTAAAATTACTATTAAATATACTTGATTTACATACTAAATTTAGACAGGAACGAAATTATTAATATAATCTCTTTCAATTGTTTTCTTGAAATAACAATTTGATAAAACAAAAGAATGTATATTTTGAAAAAGAAAAAAATCGAAAATTTTATTTAAAATGGAAAATATGGAAATTTTATTGTAAATAGAATAAAATCGATGCGATAATTTGACCAAAGCAATTTTGTAATTTTAGGAATTATAGTAAAATAAAATAAGTATGAGAAAATATTTATAAAAATATAAAGAAAAACATCTATTAACATATAAAAAAAACAAAAATAAAATTTTCAAAAATATGTAAAAAAATTATAAACGACTCAAAGCATTTCTACCAAAACTTTTAATTATAAGTAAAAATGATCAAAAAATGCTTTATTCTAAAAAAAAAGGATTCTAATATCGCAAAAAACCATGAAAAATAACAATAATTATATTATTATAAAATTTATATTCTCAAAAGGAAAATTTTTAAATTCTTTTAAAATGGAATTAAACTTAACTATAACAACTAATCATATGTTTTTTTTTGGAAGGAATCAAATTTCTTAGTTCTTTTACAGATCATTGGTTTTTAAAAGAACTCACTTGTTAATTACTTAAAATTAATCGAAGTCATTATGTGACTAATATATATATATGTATATATTTTCACATTTTTGTTTACAAAAAAAAAATTTCAATAGTTGTTTTTAAACTCAAGATTAAAATTTGAAAAATATAGATATTTATAGAATATGTTTTATTTGAAAATTTCGATACGAAATTCTGGTTTTTTGAATGATAAAAATTCCGAATACAAAAATGGCTCAAACCATTTGAATACATTTTTCGTAATAAAAAAAGTCACAAATAGTCTACTTATTTACCGTTTCTTTGATTTTTTTTACATTATGCGTTACACTTATTGTTACAAAGATTTGTTTATATATTTCAGAAATAGAAATCTTTTGAGATAAAAAGATTTAGAAGCTTTTTTTATTTTTCTTTTAGTTCTACT